CCCCCCCCCCCCCCCCCCCACCGGGGAGCAGCGAGCAGCAGAGCAGCAATGGCGGGGCTGCTATTTGCCCCCCCGTGACTGCTGCTGCCTGCGCACGTGGCCATCTGCAGTGCCACGTGGCAACTTGTTGTTGAACTGAAGACCCCCCTGCTAAGGGGGCTGCTCTACACTGGTGAGGGTCAGCTCACACAACATACCCTAGATCTGCAGATTTGCAGTACTGCTGCTAGGGGTTGATCAAGATCTCAGTCCCCTCTCTCCTCCAACTGCCTTGCTGCCACGAAGGCCAAGACCCTCCTGGTCTTGGTATACCTTGTGCCCTTGGAGACACCAAGGGTCAGGTATCACTTCCCTCTCCCTTCTCCCCACTAATCCCCTTTCTGTACCTCCTGTCTCTTCTCTTACTCACCCCACTCACTCCCTCTAATCACTCTCACTACTCATACCCCTCTCCCATCACCCCAATATTCTCCTCTATTTTATTCATTTATTTATTTTCTTTCCCCTCTTTTCTCTCTGCTTCTCGATCCCTCTCCACCTTTCCGATCCCTATCTCTCCCATTCTCTCCCCCTTCACTCTTTCTCTCTCTCCCACCTATTTCTCTCTTTTCTCCTTCACTTTTTCATTCCCTTTCTCCCTACTTCAAATTTTTATGTTTTTTTTTTTTTTTTTTTTCTCTTTGATTTAAATCTTTCATTTTCTCCCAAAGTTGGAATTATCTTATTTCCCCCCTCTCCTCTCTCATTTTCTGATTTATTTTATTTTTCTTTTTATTTATTATGAAAATTCAAATTTCTTTGCGGCACCGTTAAATCTGACTAGGAGTTGGTCTTTCTTGCTTTCGGCACACATTTTGACCCCGTGGGGGTAACGAAGTGCTGCCGAAATTTTCTGTTTTTCTTTCACTTAGTCGTTTTCGGCACACTTCGACCCCATGGGGGTAACGAAATGCTGCCGATATTTTTGAAAAATCCGATACTTCATTTCTCTCCACCTCCTCATCCACTTATTTACTTATTTATTTATTTATTTATTTATTATTTTTTTATTTGAAATTTTTAATTTGCAGCATTTTGAAACCTAGTGTGCTTATCTTGGTCTCTCCTTTCCTCTTGGCACATTCTTGACCCCATGGGGGGTAGGGAAATGTTGCCGAAAATTCTGAAAAAATAAATATTATTTCTCTCTTCATATTTTGTTTTCTTTTTTCTTTAATTAGTTTTATGATTTATTTATTTTCTTATTTATTTTTATTTTTCTTTCGAAATTTTGTTGTTTATTATTTTTATTATTTTTTTTCCCGCCTTCCCCCCCCTATGCTTGCTATTTCATTTTCTTGATTAGGTCACCAGTACCCTACCCTAACCACTCTAACTCCGGTTAGGGTTTTCTTAGGGTTTTTCTAGGGTCTAGGGTTTTCCTACCCCCCCCCCCCTCCTACTATCCCTTCTCATTCGGCCACCCTGAATCCGAACCACCCCTCCCCCTTCGACGGTGCCCGCGCTCGAATTACTAGCACCGCCCGTCACTTTCTATCGCAGACCTCCCCCTACGCCCTCCCTAGTCCGGCCCGTTACCTCCTCATGGCCGAC